GCGATGGAAGTGCACAAGGAGGTGACGATGAGGATGCAGCGAGTGGGCTTAGGGTCGGATGGACGGGTCTGCTTGCGACTGTTGGCGCGGTCACGCTCAGCTTCTGTTTGATGTAGAGCACAGCTCATGTAGAGCGCCTTGCGCAATGTTACATCTTCGCTTTCACGACATGCGACTTTTGCTCTCTTGTCCATGTTGTCACAAACCCAACCGACGAACAATGTAGATGCCGTTGTGTATGTAAAGTAATGCTCATTCACTTTCTTCATCGCTTGTCACGCATTGCGGGCATCAATCTCATCATATGGGTATCCAACGCTGGTACTTCCTCCACTTCATGCACTCTCATACTGACCTTCCGAAGCCAATGCGTCCAACGTGCCGATCCAGTATGACTTCGCGACCCCTCACCGCGGCCCAACCAAGACTGACTTTTCCCGGTACAGTAGGATCAGAGTCGGCGTTCCTTGCCAGAAGCATGCATTTCCCTTCTGAGGTCTGCAAGACATACTGTTCGGGTGTGATAACCAGCTCTCCATAATCTTCTTCTTCCTCGTCATAATCCTCTTCACCATCGTCGTCGTCGTCTGCGATCTCCTCACCACTCCCACACTCACTTGGTGCCATGCCAAATACCAGATCAGGGAAGACGCTCAACGCCCCACAGTCCACGTACAGCACTTCCTCGCCGTCCCTGGCTTGCTGTTCGGTAGTCGTAGCTAGCAGCAAGACGTCCCAGATACCCTTTGGAACGTATATGTAGGGTGTACTTAGATCGAGAGTCGCGGATTGAGCGGGCGTGGTAAGCATACCATCCTTCCTGATGCCAATGTCTAGTATGGGGATGCGTGCGCCTAGCATGAACAGAGTATGCAGTGGTAGCTGTGGGGTCCATGTGAACCGATCGGTAAACTGGGGCCAAAGTGCTGCTTGACGTGTACTGGAGAATGTAGCGGTACCCTTGAGCGAAGAGTTGAGGGGAATGTTGATGGTGATGGCGTGGTCGGCGACCTCTTCGATGCCGTACCCAACCAATGGACCTTGGAGTTGGTCGAGACGGGTACGCGTGAAGTCATCGTCGGAGGCAGCGAAGGTGTAGTGAAGGTTTTGGTCCAGCTGCTGGGGTGTCAGTTTGATACCAAGATAAGATCGGTTGTTCTTGACATACTGTGAGAGTGAGTGCACGTGACGACGCTGGCTTGGAGTCTAGCAACGGCTTTTGCTGTTGCAGCGAGGGGTCTAGATACGCCGCCGCCGTCAGAAGCGGCAGCGACGTGAAGAGCATTGTTTGAAGCATTTTGGCGGTTGGTGAGTGACCTGGGAGGCGCGGGTAAGGGAGTTCTTTATCATCTTGCACCCGCCCAAGCGGATCCTTTGCCCTCGCCGCAATATATTGCGCCCATTAGCCTTCACTTAACCCGACTGCGCATTTTTGCTATATAATTGGGGTCGCAAACCTCGCCGCTGGATAATAGCTCGTGTGGCGCCTGCAGTTCCGTTGTGGTTCGCTGACGGCGACGATGCGACCAGGGTGCGCATGCAGCTCGGCTGCTCTTTGGAGGCGCGCAAGCACATGAAACTATACTTGGCGCGACGATGCAGCAGACACGGCGGTATTTTTGGTTCATCATCATGGCATGAACTTATGGGGTCGGCAAATAATACCAGAAATATACGTCTGCGTCTGCGTGTATTAATTGGGATCGTAGCTAATCATGACGGCGCAACCTACAACCCCGTTAGATTAGTCCTGCATAGACCGAGTTTCTGTCGTGTCAAGGTCGTAGTGGTAGCTTTGATTGTCTCGAAGTAAGCCTGTCCGTCTCTTTGCAGGGCTGACACCGGCCTGAACAGACATGGTCTGGAATCGAAAGAAACTTCGTCAGCACGCAGAGCTAATTCAAACACAAGCAGTAGTCAGAGCCCGAGAGAAGAAGAGCACAGCTATCGAGGTCGGCTGTCTGGAGCATTGACGGCTGGCGGAGGCATCACTTCTCGTCGCAGAAATCTTCGGTGACATTGCTTGTTGCGGCAGATTGCTGTGGCCGAGCTTGGCAGATTGTCTCAGACAGTCGGTGACCTGACCCGGGCACTGAAGACGCTTCAGTCTTCAATGTGAGAATCTGCTCGTCCGTGAGATGATTGTGATATGTAGTTATTGGTGAGCGGTGGTAGACAAGAGCGAACGCGTGTCGGAACCATGCGACCGGGCGGATCATCTTATCGGGGCTGGGGCCCCGGATGCGGCAGCTGTCACGCTGCAACCAGCGACTCACAAACACCACAGAACCATACTTCGCCTACCGACCTCAACAATTCGTATGCCCGCACTGCGCGGGTAGATGGACGAGCTGCTTTTTGCCACCTGCAGCTACACTCCCCGAGTTCGGATCTCCACGGGCCGCGATGAAGCGTGACTGCGACCCGGCAAACAGTGCCGTCGCGCGACGATGGTGAACTAACAGTGGCATCGCAATGAAGCTGAAGTCTGTGCATAGCTGCAATGATGCCGTCAGCAAAGGGCCTTCCACGGTACCGCGTCCTCCACCAAGCGCTTTCGGAATGCGATGGCCGTCATTTCCTTGGTGAGGACCAAGCGCGCAGTCGTTTCATGCCATCGCGATCGCCTCGAACCAGCAGATTGTCCTGGAGCGAACAAAGTCTTGATTCTCTCAACGAGGCTGTGTAGAGCGGCGGGAAATGGACGGACGCGCAATTCGCTCGCGATCAAGACGTCGTCCAGGCATGCGCCTGCCAGTCATTGGGCTTATTGCCCCTGACCAAGGCTCGGCGGGCTTCTGCTAATTCATGACTATGGACTTGGCTGCTTGGTCTCCGCGATTCCTGCGCGCCCGCCAACACCCATCGACTTGGCGCGCAGCAGCGCCAGACAACCCATGAGGGTTGGCAAGTTCCACATGTAGCACTCGGGGGTAACCAAGAAATTGCTCTGTTGCCGCTTCAAATACTGTCGCTAGCCCGGCTTCCGCCTCGACGATTGCATGCCCTCTGTGTGAGAATTACCTTTCCTACTTTACCAGTCACTCGTTAGACTTCCAATCGCTTTTCTATTTGCCTTTTAATTCTACTTCTTCTCCTGCGCCCGTCATGAAGACCTCTGTCGTCTTCTCCATCTTGGGAGCCGCTATTGCTCCCGCCTTTGCCAGCGTCGTCGCCCGCCAGTCAAAGGGAAAGCTGCCACCGGTCACCGTCAAGGGCAATGCCTTCTTCGCCGGCGATGAGCGTTTCTACGTCCGTGGCGTTGCCTACCAGCCAGGTCCGTCTTTGTGTCACAAGGAATAAACAACCACGGTACTAACAGTGTTTAGGTGGTGCCGCCGACGCACAAGACCCTCTGCTCGACCTCGAGGGTCTCGCACGCGATGTCGAGAACTTCAAGTCGCTCGGCATCAACACTGTCCGTATCTACACCATCGACAACTCAAAGAACCACGATGAGGGTATGAAGATGCTCGACGACGCTGGTATCTACCTGGCGCTCGATGCCAACACGCCCGACTATTCTCTCAACCGTGAGAACGAGGACACCCTCCACCGCTCGTACAACGATGTGTACCTGCAGTCCGTGTTTGCCACCATCGACGCATTCGCCGACTACAACAACCTGCTCCTCTTCTTTTCCGGAAACGAGGTCATCAACGCGAAGAACAACACCAACGCTGCTCCTTACATCAAGGCTGTCACTCGTGACATGAAGCAGTACATCTCCAACAGGCACAACCGTGTCATTCCCGTTGGATACTCTGCCGCTGATGTTTCGGAGAACATTGAGTTCCAGGCTCTCTACTTCAACTGCGGTACTGACGATGAGCGCTCCGACTTCTTTGCCTTCAACGACTACTCCTGGTGCGACCCCTCGTCTTTCACCCAGTCTGGATGGGACCAGAAGGTCAAGACCTACGAGGACTACAGCAAGCCCATCTTCCTGTCTGAGTTTGGCTGCATCACCAACACCCGCCAGTGGGGCGAGATCGAGGCTCTCTACTCTACCAACATGACCGGCGTCTACTCTGGTGGTCTCGCTTACGAATACACTGTTGAGCCCAACGGTTACGGTCTTGTCGAGGTCGGCGACGATGGCAAAATCTCGCCCAACGAGGACTTCGAGCGTCTCGCTGAGGCTTACAAGAAGACTGCTAACCCCTCCGGTGCTGGTGGCTTCAAGGAGAACGGCGAGGCTTCCGAGTGCCCTTCTGAGTCTGACGAGTGGCAAGTCGAGGGCACCACCCTCCCTGCTATTCCCAGCAAGGCTATGGCGTTCATGGATGAAGGTGCCGGAGAGGGTCCTGGTCTTGAGGGTGATGGCTCGCACTTCGCTGGCGAACCCAGCGAGTCCACTGCTACCCCCGGATCTGGAAGCCCCACTCGCTCGCCCACTCCCGGCTCCAGCGGCGGTGCTGGCAACCCCGAGGGTGCTGCTGCTGGTCTCGACGTACCCCTCCGTTTCGTCGCTATGATCGCTGCCAGCGCTCTCTTCGGTGCCGCCATTGTATTCTAGATGGATCGTTGCTGAGGTGTGCAAAGCTTGTGTCTTTCTGTGAGCAAGCATACGGGATAGATGTAGAAGAATCGTTTTATTTGTTTGTGGAGTTTTTGACTGCCATAGTCGGCATTGTATACACCTCGGTCGTCACAGATGCGGGGTCTTTTGTGTAGTAATACATACATACATGAACATGCTCCTCGTATTTCGAACGATTCGTCTGACTTCGGAAAGTGAATGTCGACTAGATAATGTGCTAGCGTTGGCGAAGTGTGCCTGACAAACACGACCCCGCCAATGCGGATGCGATGCAGTGAGGCTAGCGGCGTGGACCCTGGTTTTCGAAGGCAGCAATGGAAGCTTCCATGGTTGTGATTGTACCAAGACCAACTTCTTTCACCAGCATTCGAGAGCAAGCCTCTATAAAAGCCGTCGCACCTCCTACCCCGCTTTACATCGCCGCCTATTCTTCTGTTCAACTATACCTTACCCCGCCATGGACGACGCCCGCAAAGGCGACGCTGCTCTCAGCGCAAGCAAACCCGACGAAGCGATTGAACACTACACCAAGGCTCTCGCAGTCAACACCACGGCCGTCAAGTACTACATCGGCCGCGCCACAGCCTACCAGCGCACTGCCAAATACGCCGAATCCCTCCGCGATGCCGAACTCGCCGTCGTCCTTGCAAAGAAACGCGGCTCGCGCGAGCTCATCAAGGACGCCCAGTTCCGACGCGCCGTCGCTCTGTTCCACCTCGGAAGATATGCAGACGCCGACCATCTGCTGAAAACCGTAAAGGGCCTTGACGAGAAGGACAAGATGCTGCCCATTTGGGAGTCCAAGGTCGCAACAAAATTGAAGGATGTACCAGAAGACGACGAGATGAGGAAGGTCACCGTCAAGGAGACTCCGGAGGTCGATGTGCCCAGCGCACCAGTCTCTGCCGCCCCAGCGAAGGCCGAGCAGCCCGCCCCGTCTCAGGCCCCGAAGCCTGTCGCCCCAACCCCGAAAGACAAAATCAAGACCGATTGGTACCAGTCGCCTGAAACTGTTACCCTCACAATCATGGCCAAGGGTGTGGCCAAAGACAAAGTCAGCGTAGAATTCGAGGAGAGATCCGTGTCCGTCGCATTCCCTACTGCCGACTCGTCGGATTACAGCTACAGCGCCGACCCTCTATACGAAAAGATCGACCCTTCACAATCGAAATATCGAGTCACACCCACCAAGTTGGAGATAACAATGCGCAAGGCAACCACGGGGCTGAAATGGCATGATCTTGAGCACCCCGACGGCGACGTTGGCTCTGCTGAAGCATCCACTATTTCTCTGCCCGTCCGCCCAACCAAAGACACCGCCCCTGCATACCCAACGTCCTCCAAGTCAGGTGCGAAGAATTGGGATAAGGTCGTGGTGAACGATCTCGACGACAAAGACGAGATTGAGGGCGACGAGACATCACACTTCTTTAAGCAGCTGTACAGCGGCGCCACCCCCGAGCAGCAACGAGCTATGATGAAGAGCTACTCGGAAAGCGGCGGCACAGTCCTTAGTACCGACTGGAGTAACGTTGGCAACAAGACCATAACCCCCGAACCACCCGAGGGTATGGAGGCCAAGAAATACTCGGGATGATTGTTGCCTCGCAGCGAGAGCACGAGTGTTTGCCTTATAAGTAGAAGATAACGTTTCATGATATGATGCATAGCAGGGTGTTTGGGTAGGCATTAGGAGTTATACCCACAAGACTGAGCGCACGTAAGAAGCCGTATACGTGGATTTTGCACTGGAATATAAACATCTTCCTTCGACCATGCAGCCATCTGTGAACATTTACCAACGATAAGAGGATATTTGACGCGTCCAATCTGAATCATCCAAGCACCTATACTGTTACGATCTCCATCGTACATCGTAAAGATCTTGGCAACTAAAGCGTTAGGAATAATTGCGGGGAAATTGAACTGTTTTCGTAACCTCGCGTTGCGTAAGCACCGAAAGATCCGAGCTGACATTTCTACGTTGAGCGGAGATCCGCAACGGAGAGGGTTGGTCCCCGAGGCGAGACAGGGTTCCCCACAGACGTCATAGCCATCGCATCGCAACTCCGACTTTGCGCTTCCCATATGTACGACATGTAAACATATAAGGATGCAACATCCTGAACTCGTAAATCGCCTTACTACGTGCGTGGATCTTGAGGCAGGCTGAACAGCTCTCTTGTGGATGTTCGCCCAAACTGCACGCACATCGTCGACTTTCTACAAACTGAGCTTCTATACATCGTCAGCATACAATCATATCCCACGCTTACAACAACACGGCCCTACGCGTTCACTGAGAGCCATGGCTACCGGTTCAAAGGTTCATCTCGAGGCTTCGCAGAAGCCCCATTTCTACGTCAAAGGACTAAAGGCTGAGAGCGCAGAAAAGGCGAGCCAGCTTTTGCAAGTCAACCACGAGAAGCATCACATCTTCTTCAATCAGAGCGGATTCCATGTAAGATATGTAAGTGACATCAACATGTGTCAAGGCTTACCAGTCCATCTAGAACCACATCGCCCATCATCTCCTCACTCTGTTCGCGCTCAACGCTTCGCCAGAAGAACTCCAAAAAGCATACGACGTAAATGTATCCTATCAACGCCCATCAGAACCCCTCGAAAAGTCTATCGTCAATGATATGCACAAGCCGGAGTGCTTCAAGTCCTACCTTGGGCAGGAAAAATACTACCACGATTTCCTTGTCTACTTCCAACAAGAGATTGATAAGAGCGGTTGGCAACGCGTACTGCACGAGCACCTGTTTGCTGAAACCGAACTTGCAGACGATTTGCTGGCGCGCATGTTTGCTGGGTTTCTGCATCCCATCATACATCTTGGATTTGGCATCGAGTTCCAGCAGCCCGCCATTATTGCGGAAGCGCTAGCGCAGGCCGCCGTACACGATAACTGGATAGCATCGCTGTTCTTTGGGTGCGAAAAGGCTGCTAAAGAAAGCAGAAGCAAAGATGGACCGAAGAAGACAGTCGTGCAGATACTGGAGGAATGCAGGAAAGACGACAAGTTGAGCAAAGCCGCGCACTGGGACGATGGAAACAAGGTTCGAGATGGAATCATCAAAAGAGCGCCTGAGGAGATGATCAAGTATGCGACGCAGTATACTGTTAAAGAGGGGGAATTGGAAGAAAAGACAGCTGAGATGATCAACGCTGTGGGTACGTTAGCAGTCCTTCTCCTTCCCCATTCGGTTCCATACTGTTCCACCAACATCACACTAACACGACTCAACAACAGTTTACTACACCGCCGCTGCGCAACGCCCACCTCATCAAGTCAAATTCGACTTCTACTTTATCCACTGCCTAAATTCGAGTATCTTCTTCTCCGCCTTCCTGTCTCCCTCTTCCTCCCTGTCTCCAGCGATCCAACGCCGACTTCTAGAATGGAAGATCTGGATGGATATCACAATGTACGTTTCGCGCGGCTGTCCAACTCTCCTCGTGGATGAAATTACCGACTACGCGCCCACGAAGGATGGCGGTATGGACGAAGTTATCAAGAGGGTGAATAATGTGGAGGATGATGGGCATGCGTGTAAGCTTGTAAGGGCGATTGCAAATGCCGAGGCGGTCTGCAAGAAGTGGGAGGGGAAAGAAGGAATGTTAGTTCAAGGGGATATGTGGAGGAAGTTGGGGCATATGGCTGTGGATAGTGTGGAGGCGGGTGAGCCGCATTGGGTGAGGAGTTGTGGATTTGCGGAAGCTTGGGAGAAGATTCCGTTGAGAGATGGGGCTAAATTGTGATGGGGTGGGAGGGTGGATGATCACTTGCAGGAAGATAGAGATGTGCATCGCGACACTGCACAGAGTAGAATGGATGCCATGTCTGCCCCTCACGGCACGGCCCTAGCGATTTGCTTTGAGGATGACGCCTTCTCCTCCTTTCATCACAGCAGCCCTACATGAAGCATATATTTGAATGACATATGAAGCGCATTGTCAGTGCAACCGTCAACGGAAGGGAAGCACGTCTTCGGATGCAACGTTCTCCTAGGCCAGCCCAAGCTCATCTCACAGGGCAGTATACGCTACGCCGGATCGATCGATCGAACCAAAATAATATTAAAAGACCGCTTCCTGCCTGGGGATCCACGGTCAATGCAAACCAGCGTGGACGTGGGAGAAGGGCGACATGCGATTGTAGGAGTACAGTGAGTGATGTGCTGTGCGGGCCGCCCATGCACACATCCCTTCTCCCCTTGGTGTATACCAGATAGTCTTCCCCAGGTGTCGCAGATCCGCGGCTCGGGCAAGGCATGTGGCGGCGGCGCAGGTAGCAGCAAGGAGCAACGTAGTTAGTCACACTATCTGTGGAACAATCGGGCGCAGGACTCGTGGATCATCATCGAGGGGTGCCCTATCGATACACAGCTTTCCTTGCTTGATCTGCGTGCCTTGGGTGACAAATCTTAGCACATCCGGCAGACATGACGGTGGAGTTACACATGCTGATCCTTGCCTCGCACAACCCCCAACGCAAGTCGAGGGTAGCATGAGTTTGACTTTGTTCCAGAAATTCATGCCTTGAAACGTTTTCGGACATGCTATGGGGGTTTGGCCAATAGGAGAGGCGGGGTACCTGAGCGAAGGCGTGTTTTACATATCTGCCTGAGAATGTCATCAAGGATCTGGGTTTGAGGGCAGTGTTGTGTTTGTAGGCGAGGACAGGAGGGGAGGTGTGAGACGAGTGACAGGTTAATCTTGGAGCAGCCTCGCTCGTGCTGCTGCGATGTCCCTGAGTGAGGAAGGGGCGCTGCGCTCAGCTCTTGCAGGTGTAGTGCCTTGCTCCTGCCGGTATAGTGCCTGCTCCTGCCGGTGTAGTGCTTGCTCCTGCTGGCATAGTGCTCAACTATACGAGCACGAATATGGTTCCTGCACTATTCTTGTCCCACAGTCCCACCGAGTAGTTGGTGTGTTTTCGTCTCATGTCCTAGCTCAAGGAGGCTGAGAAGAGGATCAGCTTCGCATGAGCGCGCGAGAATAGCACCGGCAAATCACAGAACAGGAGATAGTTTAGCCAGGCGCAGCACATGACGCCGTGGTGAGCGCTACTGCAGGAACGAAAATTCACTATCGATAGGCTGTATGGAGCCGGGGCGGGAATTACAGCACACGAGGCGAGGGGCGTGGCGCTTATGCCTCGCGTCCAACCACGGCGTGCGCTCGTGAGCAGCGAGGTCGTGAAGAAGGTTGTGCGACTGCTGTGCCGCACGAGGAGGCTGCTTTCGGACCACAAGCAGGACGCCGTGTCGTGACAAGTCACCACCAAGCAACCAAGCAGAGTAGCGAAATGGCGAACGAGAGTTACGCTTCGCCGCGTTATTGCCGCGCCGGTTGGAGCCAGTTGGCGCAATCTCGCTGTCCCGGGGTCCCGCGCAAATGGAGGCAGACAGCCGCTCACCGACTACTACAGAGAGGGGGCCAGCAGTGGCAGCGTTGTTTTGGCGTGGTGCAAACAGCCGCAGAACAGCAGGTGGCCAGAGATCAGCCGCCCCTATCGTAAAAGAAAAGGAGGTTTATCGCGATGACATAGACGCCACTGCCGACACCCGCATTGCAATTGCGATGTGCCATTTCAGTGGGTCGCCATGATGTCGCCGCCGCCGGTGCAGCACTTCGGGACCGTCTGCCAGTGGGAGCGGCGGCCTGTGAGATTGCGATGCTGCAACGGGCCACGGCTTGCCGCCAATTCAGGTACCCAGACTACCTATACCAAACAAAGACGACAGAAAGCGATGATCCGGCCTCATTGTGGCACGCCGGCCGGTGTTACGTGCGACCACCTACCGAATACGCAGATGAGCCAGGTGCGCGAGGGTGGAGTAGATCGCCTTGGACATGAGACGTTGGAGCAGCAGCGTCGACGACGGGAGCGGCGCGGATGCTTCACCATCACCACCATCACCAGCGCCGCCTCCACACAATGCGGCTCCTCAGCGTGCCCGATTCATTTGGCCCAGCAAGGCTGCCGGCCGGTACTCAGCTTATCCATGTGAAGGATCCCCTAACTGACATGTTTCAGCTTACTGTTCCTGGACTAGCGGCCGGTGCGCAGCGCCTCACGGTCCAACGAGAGCATGGCAGCACGCTCCCAGGACGTCCCATGCTCCACGTACTAATCTAGGGTTTCACCTCGCTAAACCAAAGTATGCCTTCATCTCCCCTAAAAGAAGCCTCTAGCACCGTTCCAGCGTGATAACCGCCCGTTTGCCCATCTCTCCCGTCCTTCTTTTACTGCGTCCTTTCCTTCGCCTTGTCACTCCTTTGGCACCGCCAGCAACATTCGCTACCCATCCAACTAGTTGTCTTCGTGACAACGCTACACTCCTTTCTAGGTCTATCTTCTTGAAGCGCAGGAGAGTCCTGGCGCCCGACTTATTCACTTCGTCAACCTACCCGGAAGCGACTTCGAATCCCCTCCGACCAACATAGTGAAAAAAGCACTCACCTTGTCTCAACAACCGACCTTCTCGCAAGACTACTCAACCACCGACTCCCCTCCCAATTCAAGTCGACCGACCATTCAACCATGAAGTCTTTCGCACCCTTCTACGCGGCGGCCGTCCTCTCCGG